TCTTTCTACTGGCAAAAGTACTGTCATCCATGAGTGTACACATTTTTATTATAAACAATTGAAATCAGTACACAAAGTCAGATCAAACTATGGTAAAATTTTTGTTTTGGCTCTCCTGTAAAGTTGGTGAAACGTCACTTACGCCTTTCTGGTTCTCACCCCTCGATATGTAGGCTACTATGTATAATAAAAGTAATATATGTAATAAAAATTACAAAACTAAGCTTTAATTAATCAAATATCTAACGTCAAGCCTACAATAAATTAATGATATAATAATATAAATATAAATAAATGTATAAAATAAATATTTTGGCAACTTTTATTTATTTTGTATGAATTATAAGTGTCATACGAAGTTCAGATAAAAAAAAAACCTGAAGAGCCTCCTTGGTGTCATACGTAAAATATGCAAATACAAAGTGTGCTTTGTTCTCAGCGGCGAATGGCACGTCGCTTCATGGGCTGGTAGAATCTGACTGTTCACCTGCTGCCAGGTGTGAGTAGGACGGTCGTAACAACCGAGACAGACAACACCGCAGCATGCCAACGACATGCAACGGAATATCTGCGACGATTGAAGCCCATGATAACTTTCTTGCAAGCCCAATTTGTAAACGCCTGGATCTCACATAACCAGGACTCACGGAACAGGACCTTCTCAGGTATGGCTTTTGTAGGCTATATGAGAATACGCCTTTGATAAGTATTTTTTCATATACTTAGTCTTTACTAAGTTTTTTTTCTCTTAATGTTCTTTAATGTTTCTGTCAGGGTTCTCTATTAGCGTCTGTGGTTCAATGAAGAAACTTCCATTGCATAAAAGGTTCTTTAATACAATAATTAGGTAATTATAATGTTTGTTACAATAAGAAACCATTATTAATTTAAAGGTTCTTTGGGGAACCTGAAATGGATTTTAATGGCATCGCTAAGAAAATAGAAAAACTCTTTTTTTTAAGAGTGAAGAATGTCTGCAAAAGAAAATATTTTCTCCCAGTAGCATGTTTTGTTTTAATTTGCAGAAATAAATTATTTGTAGTGCTGTCAAATAAAATAAGGTATTTTAGTGAGCTTATTGGTTTTGTTAATAGCCAGTAGATCAATCTGACTATTATTATTAAAAAAGTGCTTTGCGAAATTACCTTTAACAAATCAATATAGAAGCCACTAAGTTTTACTTCACCAGGTGAAAGACATGGCCCAAACACCCAAACAAGTGACGGCCAATGAGCTCACACAGGACAACAGTCAATCTGTGGAAGGCAAATTGAGCTCAGAAGAACAAGAGGTGAGATTGAATATGCTGCACGCTTTTACTTAGATTACATTGGTAGAGGTCACATGGCAGCACTATATTAACTTAATCTTTATCAGATTAATATTGTACAGTTTGATGTACTTTGTCCTGCAAAAGATTACAGACACTGTATCATGATGAGATTACGCAAATGGCATTGATTGCTATAGTAAGTGTTGCGAGATATTAGAAAGCTCTTGGGCATGTGAAATTTGTTCCTGGGAGCATGCAACTTTTATAGTATCTATTTCACAGAATCACAAACAATATTTGACAACTTTATTTATTTATTTATTGAATTGCTGTGATTTTACCTCACAGGGCCTGGAAGTCAGTGGGCAGTGCATAGCAGTACCTCAGTCACCTGAAGCATTGCTTTACACTATTTATAAACAGAGGAGTGACGAGTTTCGGAAGTTATTCAAAGAAGTGCCCGAGTCTGAGAAACTAATTGCAGGTGAGACTGATAGAAGGAGACAGAGAGGTAAAACCCTAACCCCAAACAATATAAAAATATGCTCTACTGAAAATGTTTGTTGGCAGAGCCACAATATTTGTATAACCACATTAGATGTTGTTTGAATGATGCATCTTTTCCCTAGACTACACCTGTGCTCTCCAGAAGGATATCTTGTTACAAGGACGCATCTACCTTACAGAGAATTGTTTATGTTTCTACAGTCATGTTTTTCGTGGTACAAAAGTGAGTTCCACAGAAAGATTATGTTATGTATTCACTGTACCTCTAATACATGCTATGCCTCTATCTATATACATATAATGAGCCTAGCTGAGATACTTCATTAGTAATTTCAGTTATGGATTCCATTGCTCTGCTTTAATAAACCTAATAAACCTGATTTTGTCTTAGATCACAGTAAATATGCAGGATATCATCTCAATATTACGAGAGAAGACAGCGAAATGGATACCAAATGCCATCCAGATCAATACTAATTCAGAGAAGGTAAAGTTCAGAGATCAAAGGTTTTACATTCTTGCGTTTTCCTATTTATGAAGATACATGTATAGGATAAATTCATTTCTTACAGAATATATATATATATAGGAAAATATATAATATGTATATATATTAATATATATATATATATATTGTCATTTTCCACAGTTGTTCTTTAGCTCATTTTCAGCAAGAGAGAAAAGTTTCCTGGGTATGTTTCGGCTTTGGCAGAACGTTCTAATGGAGAAGGTGATTTCTTTCTTTCTTTTTAACATTTTCCTTTTTAACCTCACTGTCGTTGTTTTAGATTATTTAAATATTCTTTATATTTACATATCTTCTAAAGTATATTACCTGCTTGATGTACATCACTGTACATTTTTACTCTACAACAGGTTATTCTGAAATATGATCTGAAATAGATATGTAATAGGAACGGGGATGCCAGAAGCAAACAGCATATTCTCAAGAACCCTTCCATTATCAGTTTTACAGTGTTTAGTCAGTCTTAATTGCTTACACAAACTATTTCTTTGTAGCTTAGGGTGGATACTAATGTGGCATATTAATACCATATGAGGATAACAGACAGAATAATACTCTATAGACCTATGGGCAGGGATATGCTTAAGTGTAAACAACCTAAATCTGTAGGGCACACTTGACAAGGCAGCAAATAAATGTATAGTTAATTGACCCCATCGAGGCGTGGCTTTCTTCAACTGAAAACAGAAAATAATGCCTCTTTCCTTACATGCACTAGGAACGGCAGAGCTGAAATGACAGGAAAATTAGTATAGAGATATGATAAACGAATAAAGCAGATATGCTGTTTAAGGCAATGAATAGCGCACCACTAGGCGGCGCAGTTGTAGCCTTTCGTGACTTCCTGATTTCAGCATGTGGCGTTCAGCAGGTAGGTGACGAGACGGAGAGACTTTACCCACCGTCAAATTTTACGTATAGTTGAGAATATATTACACACTGTGCTACTTCTTTAAACATGTCATGTAATTGTAAATAGGTGGGGAATTTTTAGAGCTTCATGAATCCATAAAATGTATTCGCGTCAGTTTGTTGTGTTAATGTGTCCGTGCCATACGGCCTTGAAACTATGTTTTGCTTTTCGTTGTGATTGTTTGGGCACTTTTTTAAACCGACGCGAATGTTAGTGAACTTTATACTTGAAGGTCTTTTTTCATATAGGTTTTATTGGAGTTTTTCAGCCACATTTTGTCGAGTAACTCTTGCCTGTGTCCGCTGATACGGTCTATTTACATTTACAATGTGTCGCTGAAACAGCTCTACGCCTTATTTCCATGGTAACCGTAGTTTTCGGCAATCTTCCATCGTTACGACTGCGAATGGAATTGAACTGAAAAGGCAATTTTTTTTTTTTTTTTGGAGGAAAAAATCCACCTTTTTATTATAGCACTGTACTTCTCTTTGGCTGATACTGGCTATATAGTATCTATTTACATACTATTATTTGCTTGTTTTTATTATTTTGTTTTTAAACAAAGGGTTGTTTATTACTAATATTTTGTACCAAATAACGTCAGTGTCATTTGCCTTCCCAACATATTTGCTCCCTGGTCAGTGATGTGTGAAGCAGGTTAGGGCTGTTTTATCTGCTGTTTTAGATGAACATCAGTACAGGAACTTGAGTTTTTTTTCCAACGTGCAGACGGGAGAGGCGGAAACATGTGAGTGTACATTGCTCAATGTAGCTTTCCTGTCTTGCAGAAACTGACCAAGTTGGAGCTGTTGCAGATGGTTAAGCAGCATTATGGCAACGATTTAGGATTGAGTCATGATGAAATGGAAAGCATTCAATCATCAGTAGATACTGTCACACCTACCGTGCCCAGGTTGACTACACACATGTACACACACTCAATCACATCTTCACATGTCAATGCCTGTTTGGACAACTGAGAGATCAGTTACTTGGTTTTAAGGTCCCATCTCTCTGTTGCAGTCTGAATATGCGTGGAGAGGATTACACGGGGAGACCAGAAAGGCCCACATCGCTTCGTCTTCCCCAAGGGGAGCTGAATTCTTATGAGGCCACCACACCACAGGGAGACGACACACAGTCTTCAGTTGGACTGCAAAGCATGCTTTCAGCAAATGGAGGGGTACGTTGACAAATAAAGTTTCTTTTGTAGATGGATTTTTCCTGAAATTGTTTGTATAATGACTGGTAGGGTTGGGTGATACAGTGGGGACAAAAATCTCAATACATTTCAGTCTTTAAACTATAATGTAGGTGACAATTTTATTTAAGAACTTGTTTGAGATTTTACCAGATTGATTTATTTTATTTTTATGAACATTTATTACCTACCTACAAAAATATTCAATTTTTTAAAATCAAATATAAAATTTAAAGATTGTATATAATTATTTTTATTTTTAATTTTTATTTTGTTTATTGGTCAAAATAATATTGTATATTGTATGTTTTTGTTATTAAGACTATTCAACTAAATCACTGTGAATATATAGTCAGTATTCTATCAATGGTCAACCTGTTGAATCTTTTTGTACTCTGCATTTGATTCACTTATAGAGATTAAAGAAAGTACAATGTCTTTGAAGTAGAGCTCATTAATGGCATGTTCAAAGTTTAAGGTGTTGAACTTGATATATGTATCAAACTCTCAACAGGACGACACTCTCAGTACCCCGTCCCATCAGCGCAGTCCAAATCTGTCATTAAACCGCTCAGGGTCTGAACGAGTGTCTAAACGCTCCTCTCTCTCTCTGGATCTAAATGCCAATGAAGACCAGCTCTCCGATAACAGCAGATCTGACAGCTTGGAGGAGGGTGAGTTGTTTGTGTGTGTGTCTTAACTATGTCTCATTCCATGGCTGTTTTGATGCATTTTGTTTACGTCAGTATTGATTTCTTGTAGTGGAAGAACGTGAGACAGCGTCTCCTGTGTCTCAGGGAAGGCTGTTTGTGAACCGGGTCTTTCACATCAGTGCTGAGAAGATGTTTGACCTGCTTTTCACTGATTCTAATTTCATGCTGAGGTTTATGGATATCAGGAAGATCATAGGTACGTTTCTCTTTCCTTTTACCTCTCTTACAATCATCAGTTTCATTCCTATATAGATATGAGTGGTAACTTTTCATTTCAGCATGTAGTAGACTTTGGTCCTCCAGAAATATTGTTATATTTTTGCCAGTGTTATTCATGTACTATTATACTATTTATTAGGGCTGCAACAACTAATCGATAAAATCGATTATTATCGATTATGAAAATCATCGACAACGATTCCCATTATCGATTAGTCGGGTCTGCCCACAGTGCATGTCCAACTTCAGCCGGTTGCGTCAAATTACAGCACTGAATTACGCATTTTTATGGACAAAATGCATCTAAAAATAGTGGAGGAAACCGAATGAGTTGCTGCGGGAGAGTTACGTGATCCAAGCTGCCCAAAACATGAGAATTCTTTATTTTAAGCTAATGCAATAGCGTAATGGTTCGCATAAAGGTCCGTCCTGACAGTCTGTGTTACGTTTTAATCTTTACTGAATGAGCGCCGGTGTTCTGACAAATAATGCTACCTATCAGATTATGCTACCATCACTGTATTTATCCTACAGTATATTGACTGATTTGTTGAACTTCCAGCCTTGTAAGCATGTAATAATTATTATGACAACAAAGCACTGACAAATAAGCCTGGTGTACATTAATATGAAAGTCAGTAACAAATCACACAAACTAAAGTATATTGCAGAAATATAAAAACAAATCTGTTGCTTTACCACGCTACTTTAGGTCATTCAAAGTCACTGTAATAAACATATGTAAACATGTGGACTGCACTAAACACTGTCTGTTAACTTTAGACCAGTGGTTCTCAAACTTTTTTGGTCGCGCCCCCCTTTAAACCCATTAAAAAAATCTTCCCGAAACCCCATCCCACCTCAGACTACCAAATAATTTCACTAAACATTATGAAAAATTAATGCTTTTTTAATTTATAGAACCTACAGGGAAGAAAACACCTGCATCACTTGAAACATTGAAAAATAGCATAGAGAGAATAACTGTTATATTATTATTCTCTCTCTGTTATTTATTTATTTTTTGTGGGTTTCATGCTGTCCGCTAAGGCATAGTACACACACAGGCTTTCCTCCAACGACATTAAACACGGTGTCTACACCTGACGCGAGCGGCAAAATACAGTAGAACCATTATAATCAGTGATGCTGTGTACACTGGATGCAGCGCGGCACGACAAAACCCGACATTAAACTGATGCCTTGTTCTATTTATGACGTACTGACACAAAGTTAAAATGATTTGCAACGGTCGCTTTGTCGCGTCCAGTATAGAGCTGTTGCGGCGCGACGCGACACCTGTAGCGTCCGGTATAGACACGGTGAGTGAAGCCGAGAGCAAGATATGCCTCGTCATATTTTCTGCATTTAGCTTCTTTTCTTTTTCTGCTGATGGCCCGTGCTCGACTTGAAGCAGCGCTGCTTAGACCGATCGGTGTGTCATCAAAGTACTGCGAGAGCTATAAGACAGTGAATCTCAACCTTTTGGCGTACCGGACCCCAGCGTGTCACGTGACCGAGTGTAATCGCAGCCTCTGCGATTGAAAAATCGCGGTTTTAATATCGTGATATTATCGCAAATGCAATTAATCGTTCAGCCCTATAATAAAGCCTCACACCTTATTAATATCATGCTGGAAGCAAAATCTGATAGGTAGCACTTTTCGCTATCGAATTATGCTACCATCTGTTTTAATGGGAGGTAGCAAAATCTGACAGGGTAGCACAAATCGCCAGAACACCGGCGCGGCGGGCACGTGCGTCAGACAGACGGAAAAGAGAGACAATAATCAGCGCAAAAACATTCATTGTGCTGAAATATCTGTTGTTGTTTTAATCTTTACCGAAAGAGCGGCGGCCGCCTGCACGCGCGTCAGACAGACGGAAAACCGAGACGATTAATAATCAGCGCAAAAACATTTATTGTGCTGAAATATCTGTTGTTGAAAGTTAAATTAAGGTTTAAAAGTCTACATGCATTGAGAGTATTTTATGAGAGTAGGAACTGTAAGGGGATAACAGCGTGTAGTTGTCTGAATATAAATATCAGACGCTTCATAACCGCATATTACAGGATAAAGAAATGACAGTAAGACGTGACTGTGATCAAAGTGAACGTGTTCCTGCAGAACATTAATCTTACCTATTGGTTACCTATTATGGAGTTTGTGATTTTATTCGTCTTTATCATCTTTATTATTTAAATTTTTAATGCAAAGATTTAAACTATATACATATATAACTATATACAATGCTTAAATTTATTAAAACAAATTTATGTAAGGGTTGTGCCACTGCTGCTTTAAACTAACAGTACTGGTGATTACCAAAATCATTTTTTAGCTTTCTGTATTGGTTAGTCCTCCAATATGTGTAAGCTCTTTAGTAACAGTAGTAGGCTATTCCTAATGCTATAGTAATTATTGCTGTTATCTATGAAAGAAAGGCAGAGAGCTTTATAGTGTTTTTTTCTTCAGATACCCAATTACAGTCAAAAAGTGCATAAACAATGCCAGCAAGAATGCAAGCTGTTATGAAGGGCATAGGAGGCCTTTTTTATGTGAATAAATACTATTTAGTTGTTTAAGTTTATTTGCCCAATAAATGACAATACAATTTTTTGATTTACATTTTTTTTTGACAGATTCCTAAAATTCCTAAAATGTGTTTTCTCTTTATTATGTCAGGTGGTCTAATAAATTGTTAAGCACTGTATGTTTTCATAGCATTCAGATGGAACGTTTGTTTGAAGGACATTGGGCAGAATGTGGAATAGTGTGTTTTTTGTCAAAAAAATAATAATAACCGATTAATCGAAAACATAATCGCCCAACTAATCGAGTATCAAAATAATCGTTAGTTGCAGCCCCTACTATTTATTAAAATGTTGAAAAATAGTAGTTTTTGATACTTTTTTTTTTTTTTTTAGTTTTAGTCATGTTGTTATTTACAAAATGTGTTTTATATTTATATTTACCTTTAATTTATATTTATTCAGTTATTGTCCAAGGCAACATTTCTAAGTTTAAGTTTTTAATCTTGATTGATTTATTTATTTCTATTTATTGATTTCACTTACCAAAACAATGTTTTATAATATTGTAGTTTTAGTTAAAAAATGCCAACATTGGTTTTTGCATTTATTGCTTTGCCATACTGTTTATAGTAACAAAAGTTTATAGTAACAAAAAAATTACCTGACAGGTGCAAGCTCTACCTCTTGGCAAAGGGAGGCATCTGGTGGTATGAAAAGGACTTTGAACTTCACCATCACCATTAATAACCCCCTGATTGGCAAGTTTTCCACTGCCACAGAAACTCAGGTTAGAGTCACAACTTTGTCTTTGTTCCAAAAACTAGCGAATTGCACCACTGTTTGCTACCTACGCAGGAGATTCAAAAGGGACTTGTGATTTTTGTGTCAAACAAATTGTAAAAATTGTTGTACAAACTTATTGAAAGGCTGCGTTTCATTGGTTGCACTGTCAGCTAACATGCAGTATTTGGTTATGTCACATTTATATTTAGAGACTTGGTTAGCAGGAAGGAGCTGCAGTTGTGGATCACAAGTTTCTGTGAATTCTGAGGGGTGATGGGTCCTTCCTTAGATTATTTTTGTAATATTTGCACCTGTTGTTGCCACTTTTATCTTACAAATCTGACAAATCGGTATGTCCAGTCTAGTTGTCTGTGCTTTTTCAGTTGTTTTTGTGTGAAATTAAATCCATAAAACAATAAATTAGTTTGCCAGAACCATTTTAACTGAACTTCACATACATTCTTCTGGTCTTTCAGCTCTTAGTCTGCGATGCAAAGAATAGTTAAAAAATATACCCACTGTTTTGTTTAAAACAGTTAATTAGGCAATAGACAGCTTTTGTTTCCATTTATATTATGCAACAATTAACATTTTTAACAATAAAATGACTGGAGGCGTGCTGCAATTACAAATTCAGCTTCATCCAGTTATTTGATCTAATCGTGACTGTTTGAGCTAATTGGACTTTAAAGTTGATGCAATAATCATGTTTTTATGCAGTAATGACCTGCTTGATGACTGTGGCTACATTCATACAGTGAATGTGTAGGATTGACTCTCAAATTGTCCTGTACATACAGCAGTGCACAGGATTGAATAATGTTGCATAATATCTATATGGACACGTAACCAAACTAAACTGAACTAAACTGAACAGAACCATATTTAGCAATCCAAACAGGACTGACATCTGTATTGTGCTGCTGTGTAAATTCGTCCTGTGTGTGTATGTGGAATATTTTCTGATTTCTATTCCTTGTGTATTTTAGACGCTATATAAAGAGTCGAGGGAGGGTCAGTACTACATGATAGATGCGGAGGTCTACACACATGATGTACCTTACCATGACTACTTCTACACTCAGAATCGCTACTGTATCATCCGCAACTCCAAGCACAAGTGCAGACTCAGGTGAGCGGTATCCTTATATCTGTACGTCTAACCGCTTTCATTTTGACTATAGCACTGAAATCTCTTGATGTAAGAGCCATTTAGTAAATAGTTGAGCTCATGATCTCTCTGTGCAGGATTTACACTGATGTCAAATACAAAAAGCACCCATGGGGTCTTGTGAAATCCTTTATCACAAAAAACTCCTGGAGTGGCCTAGAAGACTACTTCAGACACCTTGGTTGGTATAATGCATTTTATGTTTACTTTCCCTAACCCTCTATTTTCCCTCTTTACTCATCCGTTTAACTTCTTGTAGATTGTGCCCATTTTCTAGATGACTGAATGTCACTAATTATATTATGTCACTGTTCACTTCATAGGGTTCACAGGGTTATTATAGTTAGGCTATATATAGAATACAACTAAAACCATAAAAAAGTGTTAATAAAATAGAATAAAAATAGAAATAACTAAAATAAAATATAAAAATAATTTAAACTTTTTTTTGTTACTTCTAGTTCCCAAGTCAACATTTCTCATTTTCATTTAGTTTAACTTGATGTACTAAAATAATTAAAACTAAAACTGAAATAAAAATGTTATAGACATATTTACAAAATAAATAAATAAAAAAGACAAAACCACACAAAAAAATTTAACTAAAACTATAAAAGGAAAAGGAAAACAGAAAATATAATATATAAACTTTCAAATTATTAATTAATATTAATAAAAACCTATAAAAGTACAAGTAGCACTGCTTTATAGTGGCCCAGTCTGCAATCCATTGCCTTGTCTGAGTCTATATATCCTTAGCTACAAATCAAAACAGAACAGCGTATAAAACACTTCAAAACAAAATAACAATATAAAGCTATAGTCCAAAACTAATATGGATTAATTAAAATGAGCAGAACTGCAGACTCTGCTCAATTTCTTTCTTATCGACTGGAAATGGAAAGCTGGCTAATAGCTTCTCTGCCATGGGATGTTGGATTAGGGAATTAAAAGAGTAATGAACATTAGTGACCTGATCAGAGTGTCTAGGGAGGGCTATTAGCAGCATGGATGTGTCCGTTTCCTATTGGTGAAATGCATCAGTTAGGGTGCTTTCACACTTGGTTCGATTGCTTGGTCCGAACCAGAGTTCGAATGCTCCCCCCTCCCCCTGCCCCCGCTGGACTGTGTTCACATTATATTATTTGGGTCCGAACCGCGGTTCGTTTGCGTCATCAAGCCAGCAGCTGTTTACCCCGTTGCTTAGTAACGATGGCGCAGGAGAAGACTGCAAAATGCGTAGCATTGCTCTCTTCAATTTTATATTTATGCTTTTGAACCGTTGGTTTTGTTTCCAAAGCTTCAGTACATAACGGCACTTACGTCTGCCTTATGCAAATGCTCTAAAGTACTCTGAAGGCGAACAGAAATGAGATATACAGCTCTCTGCTTGCAGCGCGTCAGTCACGCTCGTCAGGAAAGTGAGGGAAACACACATTTTTATCAAATAATACGTCATTAATAGCGGTTCACTTCCGTGATTTGGTACGATTGCGTTCACATCAGCAGCGAACCGTACCGGAGTTCACATGAACCGTACCCCAGACCACCCTTATTAAGCGGACTCGGGTACAGTTCGCGGGTGCGCACCCGAGTTCGGAAGACAGCGTTCACATCATCCAAACGAACCGAACTCTGACGTCAATCGAACCCGGGTGCGCACCAAAAGTGCTAGTGTGAAAGCACCCTTAGATCCATTGCCTGCAAGGCCATTTAATTATTAAACTACAGGGGTGCCAAAAGCCAGATCCATAATCGATCCACTGACCTTAAAATAACAACTCTGGACTCACAAATTAATGCATTTTTAATGATCTTCACCTCACAATGCACATTCCAGAGGCAGAGCTGCTAGAAGAGGAGGCAGAGTTGACTCAAGGAAGCGGAGATGCTGGAAAGACGGGTGGTTTGCGCAGGAGACGAAGAACTTACAGTCGCACCCTACAGGAACACATGAAGCCAGGGAAGCAGTACAGTGCAGACTTAGATCAGCAGAGAGACGGCACCATGGGTATAAATATATGTATAGTTTTAATCTCTGAATCCAATATCTCTGCTACTGGCCTTAAAATACTGATTAAACCACCAGAAATTGTTTTAATGCCAATAAGATGTTTATTTTGTGGCCTATGCTTTTTAATATTTAAGCAAACATTGAAGACATTGTGTATTAGACTTATAACAATTATACTTACATTGCATGTTACATTATAGGTGCCATGGATATAAAGAACACACAACACAGATGGAACATCACTTCGATTGTGTTTGCGATGAGCTTAATGTAAGGCTTCATTCGCACTATAAGGCCTGTTTCACACCTCATACACACAGTAAGCTGTGCGTAAGTTTGGAGCTCTGACATTGACAGTGTTTCTGCTGCGTAACAGAACCACAAAAGATTCTAGGTTACTACATTAAGTTTTTCCTCTAATTACAACCTAAAATCATAAAATGGTTGTTAGAGTTACTACTCTTGATTTGCATGAGGAAGGTGAGCACATTTTCATTCAAATGGTAAATAATCTACACTGAACAGAATTGACTGCAAATTTTAGCAATAAACAACTTAAAGCACATGTTTTCAGTAAGATTTAATGAATGGAAAGTGTTGTTTGTTTGGAACCTAGAATCCCGTAAACTTTCACTGTGTATAACATACGTTGCTATTTTGCAAAAGATTGCATTGATAAATGGGTTAACAGTGCATGTTCTCCATATTTTCTGCTGTGTTCAGTATGCTGCAGTGGCAAAAATAGAAAATTTGCTGTGTGAACTTTCCAGCCTGTTAACATGGTTGCCAAAATAAATATGTGCAGCTTACATCTGCAGTGTGAAACATGGAAGAAAAACTGCCAGTTTTAACCATGATGATTTAGAATTACTTAAAAACCCAACGTGCTTATGAATGCCACATTGTTTTGCCTCTCAGTCTTTTTGTTCTGGTGGTTCTGAACTTGGGGCTGTTCTATAAACTTTGGGCCATGGAAGATGTCGCTCACCGTATGTATCTGAATACCAAGCACAGAATGAAGGAGAGAGTAGAGTCCAGGTAAAGGCTCTTTCACATTGTAAATTTTGTGAATTTTTATGATCAAAACTGACCATGTTTTTATGTAGTTTGGCACCTGGCCAAGGGCCTAGACAGGGTATGCCACACAGAAGTCGAGAAGAAGCACATTTACTGAGGGCAGTACTGCAGGACTCCATTAACCTTCTAGAACAGGTATGTTTGGGTGTTCTATTAAACACACCCTGCAATGACATGTAAATGCAAAACAAACTGGTTGTTCACCATTACACATCAGTGAGATGATCCTTCCTGTCTAATTTGGCAGTTCTTGACCAGAAAAAGTTGATCTTATGTTGTTTGTTAAAACTATAGCTACATACAGTATCTCTATTGGCTGAGAAGTCTCTTATGTGATTGTTTATTTTTGCTGGTTCTTTCTTCTCCACAGCTACGCAGTTCTCTTGTGGTGCTTCAGCAGACCTTTCAGGTCTACAACAGATCCTCCTCTCAGCTTTAAATGGCATTGAGTTTGGTGACCTGACAACACAAGGGTTTTCTTCCCATAAGACTTGTCCTCGCTGAAGAGTGTTGCCATAGGTACTGTCACTCCAGGGCAGGCTCGTAGCCATGTTCATCGTCTCTCTGGGCTTTTTTGTTATGGTTGGATGTTTTTTTTTTTTTTTTCTTTTTCAGTGCTGTTTTTGTCTTGGAGGGGATTTTCGCACTAGTACACTCAATTTCGCGAGTTTCCTCTTGGATTTACTAACTTGACCTTGAAGCTGAAGGAGAGAAGCAACAGTGCATTTTCTCATTCTTCAAATCTGATATTGCTGAAGTTAAACATTAAAGTAACAACAGTGTATCAGGTTGAAGCACAAGGGCTTCTCACAATCATGTCCTGAAATGATTGATGCTAATTTGATGGACACATTTTTTTTTCTGGACTGCAACAGAAGCCTTATAAAACGAAAAAGTTTCAGATGTAATGGATTCAGTGCAGTTGCACAGGGTCTTAAATTATAAAGGGGGCAATGCAGGCCCATTGCCTCTAGCTCACTTTAAAGATTTGCCTAACATTTAGTCATGTGGCCTTTTTTGTCTTGATTTAGATAATGTTCTTGTCTTAAGATCCCTCTAAGAATTTGTAAATGGTTGCACCTTAAAACCTTATTAAAGCAGGGATCACTAAAGACCAATGATTATGCTTATTGAAATTGATGAATGCTTGTAGGTTTTGAATGTTTATCAGGATTTTAATAATGTCTAATAGTACAAGTTTGTGTGAAGAAGATAAAATATCTGAAGTTTACTGTAAAGGATGAGTGGTCATGTTTGATGTTTTAAATTGTTTACACTCTTGGTCTTTAAAATACCACTTTTGTTGTTCAAATTTTAGGGACCATATTGTCACTGTGAACTAAATTTGTGACCCATTCATGTAAATTATTTACATTGGGAAAAGTGTGGTAATTTATTAAAAGAGAATGTGTAATCCTCAAGCATTTAATTCTTTCACAGAAAAATACGTAAGGGGTGGATGTGTATAGATGTCTATTTTTTCTGCATAGATTGAACATTTTCTTCTGATTTTTTTTTTTTATATATAAAAATTATTTGGAACCTATTTATAAATAAAATTCCCATGGCATTACAATGTTCAGTTTGTGAAACTTATGATTTTGAGATTTTCTTATGGTAACCTAGACATGAAATATCACAACATTGCTATTCATTGCTATACGTTTTAACTATTCATCCATAGGGTGTGACAACATGCCCCCGAAAGTGCTGTCTGGGTCTCTAAAATAGATGCAGACGTGCATACACAGCCCTTAATGGCGTCACGTGCACGCTCTGTCAAGGAACTTGAAATATGTTGCATTTTGTGTTTGTCGAGAAGCACAAAAAAGATTGTTACTAATACATAGGTATTCTCTATTTTAACTCTTGCCATTTTCAATTCAATGTCCATTAAAGGCGAAAAAGTGAGAGAGAGAAAATCAGACTCTGGAAGCATCTGGAAACGGTGTTCTCTGTAACAAACCATGGCCATTAAGTAAAGTTTATAATCGGAGGAAATGAAAGGGTTAGTTTGCACTGACGTCAGGAAGACATTCGCCAGTCACATTCACAGGGCGGTCAAACGCGCGTGCTGTGCGCTGTTGCTGTTTATGTTACGCGACTTCCTGGTGCTCTCTGTAGTAAACCTCGTAGATTTGGGCTGCTTTGTGTAGTTTTTCTTGGGCAACTGTAAGTAATTTATATGGAGTAAATGACTAAGTAAGCTCTGGTAGAGCAGCTGGGTAAAAAGACTCGAATATTCCACTACCGAAAATGAGACTCGCAGCTGACGCTCACACTGAAAGTACTCCCTGCTGCCCGAAAGGAACTATTTCTGCAGTATGAATGTTTTGTACTGTAAGTATGAAACATCGCATGCCACATGTTACGTCTGACATTTCACTATCAGTTTATTTACATATTATCGTGATTACTTTTGTTATATGACGTGTTCTCAATGGTCGTCAATCAGAACCTCATTGCTTCTATCTATCTGGAGCCAGTATTTATTTATTTATATATACATAGTACATACATATATACCCAAGGTCATGGCTTCAATTCCTAGTGAATGCATGAACCGATAAAATGTAGGACTACATTGTATGCAATGTATGTTGCTTTGGATAAAAGCGTCTGACACGGAAATAAAATAAGTTTAATGTTTTTAATATTTTATTTTATTTTAGATCATTTTTATTTTATTTTAAGTTATGAAAATCCTTTTTATGCTTTTTTGGCTGTATATAAATAATGCACAGGCCTGGATGCATTAATAATCTACTTTTAAACTGATTCCCACACCATTTAACATAATGTGACTCAAGTATGAGCAAACTATAAACCATAGACACCACATATACAAGAAATTGTTCCAGATGGTGCATCCTCAGGTACATTGTCCCTTTACATATGGGATATTCTAGGTGCCAGATGAATGACCAATACAGTATACAATGTATATTTTTGTCTACCCATTAGTCAGTCACATAAATCTAATAAACGTGCAATCTGGTTTCCTCACAGGAATGCAATATCTTCCCTCACCTCCATTTTATCGGCTGATATCCATCATGACGAAGAGATCCCATCAAACACTAGATCAGGATGATCCTCTGTGCTGTTGCGAGTACATTGATCGTCATGGCGGACGCAGTCACTTGGCAGCATGTTGCTGTGACTGTGAGGATTTGGATGAGGCTTGTGACAGGTGAGCACTTTGGATTCATAGATTACTGCTTAAATTATTAAATGATGAATATGATTGAATTTGTTATTTTCCAGATGGATGAAGAAGCAGCCTCAAAATTCAGACTCTCTGTCTCGGGCTATGGCCACGTTCAATGATCGTCTACGAGTGCCCTGGATATCTGGAGCCAGACAAGTTGATAAATCAGTGATCTCTCCTCTTATTCTGCTTCCTGTTTTTTTGCACATTGCAGCTTTGCACTACCTGCTGGGTATTTTAGTGCTAACTGCAGTGCCCGTCTTGGTCCTTTGGTACTACTATTTCACTCACCGAAAGAAAGGACGCACGTTATTCTTCCTCAGCCTCGCACTCTTCTCCCTCTTCTACATGTTCTACCTCTTCATCACCGAAGTCGTTCCTCGTGGTGATGTGAATCATCTTCAGTTGGCCGCTGTGACAGTGGGTGTTGCTCTTACGGTAATTTTCCTCATAATCACTAAGAGGGGGCCGGGCTACATCAGGCTTCGTCCAACTGACACTCATAGTACAGTGACCTATCACAAACCTCTGTCTGACGTAGATGCCACCTATCTAAATGGAGCACAGCACCAGGTGGTGACAGCCAATCATGAACAAACTTGTGAATCTGGGACAGCACAGCAGAGTGTTCAGAGGAGGAACTGGTGCGCAGTATGCAAAGTGGTGCGGCCCCCGAGAGCGGGACACTGCAGGATCTGTGGGGTCTGCATCCTGCGTCTGGACCACCACTGTGTCTGGTGGGTGGGTTTATTTAAAAAGCACTGCTTATTCAAGAGGGTCTCAGTCATTATTATGTCAGTATTATGTTTGGATCATATTTCACTCAAAAATGTTTTGGATTGTGAAATATTTTTATGGAAATTGTACACAAGTATATATTTTGAAAATATTTATGTTTATACATTTATATATTCATGTTCTTATATTTTATATTATATATAAACATTTAATATTTAATACATAAACATAACATTTTTCTTAAATACATGCATGTGTTTGTATTTATATATAAATATACACAATACACAGTATACACACATATATTATGTAAACAAAAACTTTTATTTTGGA